GCTACACTGAAGGGACACTGCACTCTGTTAAACTGTTTCTAACTTCAGTACTTGTCAGTACACAGGGTGCTACACTGAGGGGACCGTGCACTGTGTTAAACTGTTTCTAACATTAGTACTTGTCAGTACACAGGGTGCTACACTGAGGGGACAGTGCACTCTGTTAAACTGTTTCTAACTTCAGTACTTGTCAGTACACAGGGTGCTACACTGAGGGGACAGTGCACTCTGTTAAACTGTTTCTAACATTAGTACTTGTCAGTACACAGGGTGCTACACTGAGGATTACTGTCATTAAATATATTATTATTTTAATAAGTTTGTGATTTCAGGTTTGTATCAAAAGGACGATGTATATTTGGGATTATTCATAGTCACTAAAACTACAGAGAAGTATTACTGTCATTAAATATATTATTATTTTAATAAGTTTGTGATTTCAGGTTTGTATCAAAAGGGCAATGTATATTTGGGAGTAGTCATAGTCACTAAAACTACAGAGAAGTGTTACTGTCATTAAATATATTATTATTTTAATAAGTTTGTGATTTCCTCTAATTTATCTTTAATGTTCAAAGATGTTTGTGCTAGTGTAAAATACATTCTAATTTAAAGATTGAGTAGTCTAATAGGATACAGTGTCATCTCAGTACAACGCTACTGGTACAGAGAAGACTAATGTTAGAAACAGTTTATACAGAGTACACTGTTCCCTCAGTGTAGCACCCTGTGTACTGACAAGTACTGAAGTTAGAAACAGTTTAACAGAGTGAACTGTCCACTTCTCTGTAGTTTTAGTGACTATGACTACTCCCAAATATACATCGTCCTTTTGATACAAACCTGAAATCACAAACTTATTAAAATAATAATATATTTAATGACAGTAACACTTCTCTTTATAATTTACCATGGATTTAAATCATGAAAAGTTTAAGATACTATCCTTTTGTAAATTCCAACTTCAAGGATTTCCCTGTAGTAGAGCCCATGATTTTGAAGCCAGTGATCCTGTCTCAAATCCATGTGATTTCACAAAATAGTATCACACATTAATTGTGGGTATGTTTTAAGAGTGACAGTCAATTCTTTAGTGTGGGCAGTTGGTGATAAGGTGCTGTTGACTCGTTGCCTTCCATCTGGTCAGTAGTAATAATGGCATATAGCCTTAGTAGCTTTGTTATAGATACAAATTTAAAACTTTAAAAAGTAGCACTAAAATATATTTTTAGTTGGCTACAGTTATTAAACCAGAAAATTAGTTTGTATCACTTAAGTGGTGGCACTAGATGCTTTAGAAATGAAGTTGTGTAGTTTGGATTGAGGGTGTGTCATGGTATTAGCCCTTTTGTAACATGTAGCTGAGAATAGTTGAGGAAAACTCCAGTGTTTTTCATCTTTTTCTTTCCAAGTGAATCGGACTCTGGAAGTGATCCGTCTTTCTTTGATGCTGTGAAAGGTCTGATTTACTCTGAAGTGGCAGTGGTGATATCCCAGAACGAAAGACACCCACGTTTCTTGATTGATCTTTTCCAACAGTTGAAACACCTAAACAACAACTATCAGCGGGAGCGAGCTTTGACAGTCTTACGAGATCTAGCGTTGTTAGGAAGAGTAGCAGAAACAGTTCCCAGTGAAACAAAGAATAAGGTATTTATGGACTAATAGTTGAGTTAATGTAAAGTGGAAAAATAAGAAAAGTTTAAAATGGAGGCCTTTACTTTCTTAATACGTGGCAGAGAACTATGAAATCTTGAAGTCAAGAAAGAAAGTTCAGAAACAAATTTAAGCTTTTGACCACCATTACAAAAATTAAGAAGGATATTTCCATCCCCAAACTTTCAGATATGCTGAGTCTACGTACTTAGCATTTGATGTATTAGAAAAAACACGAAGCACACTAGGGCAAGTGAAAAATGACAAAAACATGCTTTCTGTATCATTGAAGGAAGAAGGTCTCATTGTGAGTTACTGAATACCATGTAAAACTAACACCTTTAATCAACTTGATAAGCATAGCAAGGATAACATGAAAGGCAGACCTAAACAATTTGTAAATGTATTCTCTACTATACTATGTGTGTGTGTAAAAAGTTGTGTAAATGCTGGATTTTGCTCCTGATATATATAAATTTAGTTATTTATATCAAGGAATTAAATATTAAAATTGTATTTGATCCATATAATTATTTTCATTGCTAAGATGACGTCAATACCCAAATGAATTGACTGGATATTTTTTAGATCCATTTGGTTGTACACTATGTATGTAACAGCAGTGTACTTGAAGTTGATGAGAATTCTATGTGAATTTAGTACATTAATCTAAGAAGGTGTTTTTTTCTTTACTTGTAAGAAAATGTAAGTGTAGATAAACATTCTTGAGTGCTAGGTGTATAAGAAAAGTTTGGGAGATCTGTGAAAATATCTTAAGTTTAAGGAGAGAAGTTTGAGAGAAAAAATATACAAATAACTATGTAATAATAATCATCGTATTATAACACTTGTTAAAAATTAGTTGGGAATGTAACAGTTTATAAATATAAAGCTGAGCATTTTCACTTGTTCATTACATTAGACAAGTATGATATGATCTGTTTAATACCTTATGATATGATCTGTTTAATACCTTACGATATGATCTGTTTAATACCTTACGATATGATCTGTTTAATACCTTATGATATGATCTGTTTAATACCTTATGATATGATCTGTTTAATACCTTATGATATGATCTGTTTAATACCTTATGATATGATCTGTTTAATGCCTTATGATATGATCTGTTTAATGCCTTATGATATGATCTGTTTAATGCCTTATGATATGATCTGTTTAATGCCTTATGAAATGATCTGTTTAATGCCTTACGATATGATCTGTTTAATACCTTACGATATGATCTGTTTAATACCTTACGATATGATCTGTTTAATACCTCATGATACGATCCGTTTAGTACCTCATGATACGATCCGTTTAGTACCTCATGATACGATCCGTTTAGTACCTCATGATACGATCCGTTTAAGTTTTATTTGGCTTGTTATAAAGATGTTTTCCTAATTCTCTATATGATTTCTATATATTTGGATACAGAAGTTTCTGTAAAGCCAATTGTTAGATTAACTTCTTGAGATTAAGAAAGATCATAGTACTTAATAGGAGTGACATTAAACCTAATTTCTTGGATATTTTTGTCTAGTTTTTAACTCTCACCTGCATCCATCCAACATTATAATATGTCTTGGGTTCATCAAACAATTGTTCTATTAATGTTATTGCAGCACCTAATTGTTTCTAATGCTTTTTTTGTTCTTTTATCTAAATATTCAAAATTATAATTTTGTATACAGCTAGTTTCTTACTTAACTTGTGCCACCAATATTTTATTTTGTGTGTGTCTATATATAAATATATAAAAAATTCATAAGTTTGAGATTTAAGTATAGTCAAATGATCAGCCTGAAAATGGTTTTGAATTTATACTTGAATGGTATGTACAGCCTACTAACACTTGTTATTTTGTACGTAAAGGAGGCACCGAGGAACTGGAATTATTCTCAAAACAAGTCATTATCACAATCTACTCGGAAAGTAAGAGAGTTAAAGAGTCAAATTCCTGAGCATGGAAAAGGAGACACTTCAGAGAGTCAGGCTTCTCTATTGCACGATCAGCCTTTTGCTAGCAGCTCATTGGGAGAGACAGCAATTCATCTGGATAGTAGTGAGGTTTGTATCAAAAGGGCGATGTATATTTGGGAGTAGTCATAGTCACTAAAACTACGGAGAAGTATTACTGTCATTAAATATATTATTATTTTAATAAGTTTGTGATTTCAGGTTTGTATCAAAAGGACGATGTATATTTGGGAGTAGTCACAGTCACTAAAACTACGTACATGTATATCACATTAAATATTTACAAATACATTTGAAAACTTTCACAACTAACC